TTTTTTTTTATTTTTTAGAACAAAAAAATGTAAAAATGTACCAACATTTTCATGATGCAAATCCGTCAAATATACATCTATTATAAGACATTACGACTTGATTTAAACATTTTAATAACATAAAAATAGTCATAACGCATAATTTTATTTCACCAACAGTTTATATTTTGAGATAATAAAAATGTCCAAAATTCTAGGTGAAAAGTTGGATCATGATTTTTCTTACTATGATTATATTTTATTTTTACACTAGTTATATGTGTATGTTGCAATTAAAAAAAAAAGTTAACACCCGTTTAAAAGTACTTTTTTGTACTAAAAACGTTTAGTAAACTTTTTAGTAACTTTGATACTATAAAAGTTCATTTTTTGTTTTATTAATAACACATTTAATATAATTGTCAATGATTTTTTATGATTAAATTCATATAATTGATTTGATTTAAAACAATTTAGAATCACAAAATTTCAGATTAACTCTGACTAATAACAAATATAATAAAAACGGTAGCACAGTGGGGTGGTGGCATAGTTGGGTCTAGTATAGATGATATCTGACAGTGATTAAAATCACTATCATAAAAAATGCTTCGATGCAAATCTATAGATAGTGTTTAATTAAAAAAAAAAATTTGTTAAAATAGCATATTTTTGAATACGGTAGCCATTTCCGTATAGAAGATAGGTCGTTGGGACAAATTTTTTTTTTCATTTTATAGTATATAAAATAAGCTTTAATTTGATATATGTTTGAAGGACGCAGTATTTCCGGAACATTTTCAAAAATTAAGTTGAAAAAGTTAATTTTTGTAAAAAAGTTGCTATTTTAAATCCCCCCAATGAGAAGTTTAAGTGATAGATTTTCAAAAAAATGATATCAAATGAAAGGTAAATATCTAAGGTTTTAGTATAAAAAAAATTATGTTGATTTGTTGATTTTTCAAAAAGTTATGAAAGTTTTAAGAAATGAAAGTGAAAAAATTTCGAAAATTAGTGATTTTTAAATTTGTAATTTTTTTGGATATTTCCCCCATTTGCGGGGAACGAGGGAATTTTTTTCAATTTTTAAGGGTAATGTCTTCAACTAGACATTTGTGATCTTTTGACGTATTTTCGAAAGAAATCTGTCCAGTGAGAGCTGAGAAAAAGTGGCGACAGACATAAAAAAAAAAAACAAAAAAAAAAAAACACATCATAGTAAAATTAATACCTTCTCCGCTTCGCATCGAAGCTAATATTTGTTTATTTAAAATAATTTTTATCAATAAGCGATTTTCGAATCATTATAAAAATAATTTTATACGTTTATTTTGTGAAATTTTTATTTAAAAAGTTCTAAAATAATACTATTAAGTGGACATTAAATGTTAACAGTTATTTTATGGTTGTATACTTACACAAGCACATTTCAATTATCATAAGTAATATTAAGAAATATTTTCTTTGAGATAAGTTTTTTTGCTAGCTATGAAGTATTCTTAGTTTTTCATAGTTTGTAAAACTGAAATCCTGATGAAAATACCTTTTAGTTTAGATCTTGTATGTAGCACTAGAGTTTATTTTCATGACGTGGACTCCTCTTATACTAGTGAATTGTTTGTGTAACGACATCTTTGCCTACCTAACACCACATAGGGTTGATTTGTGTGCAATGGACTGCGACAAAAATATAATAACAAATATAATAATAATAAAAAAACAAACATTGCAAAATCATCTCGATCGAGTTTAATGAGCCAAACACAAAAGATTTTCTCTATACTTCCTTCCCATTTAAACTGTTATAATCGAATGTGAAACGGCGTTTAAATATTCAGAATGATCAACGAATATCAAATGGAAACTTATGACAACGCTGACAGAAATTATCTTCATATGTTTTAATTGGTTACCGATATCCTAGATTAAACAGAGTGTTCAGTAAGTAAGTAAATGGGTCAATTGTTACAAATATTGAGAACAGAAATCTGTTCATACTTAGAAAATTATCCCTTTATTTAAAAATTAAAAAATTACTATCAATTCACCAACTGAAAAGTTACGTTTAGAAAAATATCCAATTTAGGTAGTTCATAAAAGAAAACAAAACCAAAAGTATAAATATACACAATTTATATAAGATGTATAAAGTATATATATATAGTTTTTATAAACTGCAGTAAATGTTTTTGACCGTAAAATCAGAAACAATATCATAACACACGATATTATAAGTATATAAAAAATTTTTGACATAAATATTGTTTAAACATTGTCTCGGCGCTGCAAAAATGAATGTACATGATTATGAATTTTTATTCATGTAATAAATATTTAACGACCATTTTAGTCATAAAAATATCCTTAAATGGCATTTTAATCTCGTTCGTAATAAGAATTTTACACATTGACAGTTTGTATTACAGATAATTTTATTCAATACTCATTTTCCGATTAATCATAATGCATTGAAAACAATACAATTAAGTTATATCGATTAAATGTAATAAATAACTAGACAATAGATAAAGTACCAACATAGAAAATATAGTTCTGTTAAAACTATGAGCACTTAACGATGCATTTATGGGACTGATGTTTGTAACAAATGGTCTTAGGAGTAAGAAAGTTTTGCGTATGTCGGCAAAGTATAATGATTTTCGGATGTACATCCGGCACGGAAGTGCATCTTTGGGGATAGACGATAACGTTTCGGTGGATTTTACTCTTCAGCCAAAACCTATCCGCCTTCAATATACGAATACACTCAAGTATATATAATATGTTTTGAAAACAAATCAGAACTTTAAACTCATAAATTAGTTTTCAAGATCACACAGAAATTGCTATGTCAGAATACTCCAATTTATCTTAGGTTAAAACAACTCGATGTACATATATTATAATGTGTTCGTGTCAAGTGTTCAAAATGTGTGATTTATAAAATATAAGTTAGTAATATTGAATACATACTTGAAGAAAGACAAAAATACAAAATAAATAATAACTTATTTCGTTAGATTGAATTCAATCCTTTACTATATATGCCCCCACAAAATTAGTTGATCAAATCATAATAGTATATAATTTATATTATTAATTTTGATTTTACTAAGTGATTTTAAAATGGTCTACAAATCAACTCTTGCGTCACGTTAACATGTATAATTTCGTTAAACGATTCATGCACATAAAGAGCTCCGTAATTAATATCAATATAAATTTAACGACCATGAAGTCCTACATACTTAAGTAGTGTATATCAGGGTAATTCAAAAAAGTCAACCATCGAAATTTTAATAAAAACTATATTAACTTTATTATATACATTAAAAGAGTCATTTCATGAAAATTTAAGATTTTTAATAAAAGTTTTTCTGCTCGCTCAACGTGTTTTTAATATTTTTATCAAAAATACCCCAAAAACAAAAAAACGTCTTCTTTTATTAAATTTTTGGTAAAAAATTATGGTTAGAGTATCGTAGAAGTTTAATTTTTATTGTATCATATATTTTAGATCACACTTTGCTTATAAAAAAAAGTATAAGTTTTTGAAATTTTTTTTGTACTTATAATACAGAGTGTTCCATTGTGATTTACTAATTTGAATATATAAACTAATATTAAAAATAGTAAATTACGGTGAGACATCCTATATACATAATTATTAGCCAAACCGCATAAAAACATATTTTTTAATATTAAGCTACTTGTGACCTCTAGAAATATATCATATAAATACGATAATTTTGCTATAAAAATTAAACTATTTTGATATACTAATTACAATATTTAACCAAAAATTGAATAAAAGAAGATTTTTTTTTGTTTTTTTTGTATTTTGAATCAAAATACTGAAAACACGTTGAGTAACCAGAAAATTTTTTATTAAAAATCTCAAATTTTCACAGAATATCTTTTTTAATGCATATGATATAATTAAAATGGTTTCATTAAAATTTCGATGATCGACTTATGCAGTTATTTTATTTGTAATAATAAAAGTAAACTAAACGTATATTTATATAAATCTCCTTATAATTTCTTGATTAAAACGTTTATGAATTTTTTTTAAGACTAATATTTATAGATAAATATTATTTTATAAATAATATTTTATACTGATATCATTAACGCTTAATATTTCTTATTAAACGGTGATTTATAACATAAACATTTATATATGAAAATCAAGTTCTAGAATAAAATATTAATTTTCAAGAAAAAAAATTGTTTAGTTAAAATATTATGAAATTTTTATTCCTTGATATTAAGTATTATTTATCTATTAAGAACTATAAAGCTAATTTAAGATTCTTATCACTTGTTTACAATTGCTCCACTAATTTGGAGTAAATGCAAATTAGTAGTTATGTTTGAAAATTTATATTAAACATATATAAGTTATTCGTTTGAGTCAATAAATTGATAAATAGTATTTTGTTTGATTTTTAAATATTTTAGCTCTCGTTTTATGAAGCAAAATAAAAATGACATTTAAAGTTATTCAGTTATTAAATGTATTTTTTAAATAGATCTGCCAGATCTAAAACAATAAAATAATAGTCATAAATATTTACGTATTTTTAAAGCACACCAAATGCATGTATACAATTACTCCAGTGTAATACTTATAATGAGAAGTAAATGAAATAAAAATGCTACTAAATATAATTTAGATAATATTTATAGATAAATCGTATGTCTATAACTTATTTTTATATATCTATTTTAAATGAATTGAAAACCATCCAATTTATAAAAGTTGACAAACCATTTTTTTTTCAATAACTCATTTACTATTTTATAAATAAATATTATTTTATAATAAACTCAAAAATTGAAAACCAATTTATATATTCTAAATTAAAACAAGTTAATTTAAATGAATATAAATTATTTTATTTTATTATGAAACTCAAATTATATTTATTTATTTGGTTTAAAATATCAAGCTTGTTTACAATTACTTCACTCAATGCTAAAGCTCATAAATCAAAATAGAAATAAAACAATCTTACCTCGTGATTTCTTCAACGAGTTTACATGGGTCTGCTGCATAAAACTTCACTCCAAAGTAAAAAGTAAAATTTTCAATGTCTGTAATATAATGTTCGATAGATTAGTCATCCGTAACGTTTATATTCAATATTTATTTTAAATATTAATTCAAATTAAAAATTATTCATTGGTACGTTCACAAAATATTTTAATCACAATAATTGAACACCAGAAAAATCATAAAAAAAATCTATACAATGGATTTTATTAATAACTACAAAGTGATCAAGAAGAATATAAAAAAAAATAATGAATTACATAATATTATTAATAGAATACTTAAAATTTATAAATATATGGAGTTTTAACTATAATTTCATATTTTAAAAACTAATTTAGACTCATTCATAAGTAATGTCAATGAAGTCTTAAATATACTAGTTTATCTACTCCCACTGTTAAAATATACCTTAAGAAATTTATACATAAAATTAATAGCAAGCACATTTTACGGCTTCATAATACACGAGCAAGTACACTTCAAATGTGGCGTATGGTTTTTCCCCAAGGATACCGCGATCATTATTAAAAATTACTGGACTTCTTCAACAACGGTGTTTCATTAGCATATAGTGTTATACATTTTTTGCCTACACTATTTGACAATAATTTTGATTTACGACCACAAAGAATACCTTTTAACCCTTTTTAAAAATATAATAATTTTTAAAACGCATCAAGGCAGTAAATCCTAAATTAACCCCCAGAAAAGTATACTATTAACAAAAATCATATTTTCATAATATTAAAACATTACAGTTTTTATTCTAAATTCTTTGACTTTTGGTCTTATATTCGTCAAAAATATATTTTCTGGGAATCATTTTGATTTTTATTATTAATTCCTATGACATTACTTAAAAAAATGTCAAAATGTATAAATCGTTATTTTATACTTAAATCTCGTTAAAAGGCGTAAAGTAAAATGATCTATCGAAGTAAATAATGATTTTGAAAATCAAAAATTATTGCCTAGTAAATCATTTGGCAACTTGTTAATTGACATTTTTTAGCATTAAAACTGAACAGAGGATGCTATAGGTTTTTGTTGATACATAATATATGTATCTGTATTTTTTTAATGTTATCGATTAATAACGAAATTCTGTAATATAATATGAATTTGGGCAAGGTACTCGTAATTTTTGTAGTTATTATCAAAAACAAATTTTAGAGGGTTACATTACAAAAGGTCTCGTTATGGACATTGTCGAGAGTATCTAATAAACAATATTACGAGTGCCAATGCTGACAGGGGTCGCACCCAGGAAAAATTTATGAATTAACAATTACATTTTAACATTATTTGACCTCATTAATGAGCCACTAAACTTACACGCATGACTTTATTTCAATGAAACTATATATTTTTTACCTTTTTTCCTTTTACTGGTTTATTATTATAATATATAAAAACTAAGAAATAACTGAAAATTTAAACTACAAAAATTAGTAAATAAATAGAAATTAAAAATACACACCCTTCATTTGTTTTGATATTTTTTTAGATAAATCCAACCAATGCTGAAACAAAAATTAAATTATGTGTAAGATTTTTAAAATACTAAAGTATTATAAAATATTATTAAATCTAAAATATTAAAATGTAATAATTATTTTTGAACTCACTGTTTGGTTCTGAGTGTCCAGGTAGCGTAAACCAAAATAAGCCGTTTCTATGAGACTCAGATGTCTAACAACGACATCAAATACTTCTTGGCCATGACTAGAACCCTAAAAATATTAAACAATTTGCTTATTAATAAATGTAAATCATAACTTGTAAGCTAATCATACCAAGTCTTTTACAAATATCGGTTCATAACATAAATCACTAAAGATTATTAATTTTATTATAATCCTTACACGCAAATCTAAATATTATTATTTGATAAGTATAAAACACTTTTATAAATGATACAAATTTTATTTATTTTATATATTTTTTTGTATAAAAATGAAAACTACTTCAAATGTTAACTTCTCTATTTAAAACAAAATTGTTAAAGTAACTATAGAGCATTCTGTTTACATGAATACTATCATAACCCTAAAATGTCTGTAGATGTTTAAGTTGTTTTAACAAAACGATTACGATGATAAGAAACCATTTCTATGTTAACAAAAGGGTATGTCATTTTATGGTAAGATTGACAACCATACACTGCAAAATTATTTCTAATTTTGGGCAATTTATCTCATTTGACTTTCCTATGTAATCTTATACCATTATCGTACCTGAGCACCGTTAAGCAAAGTTCTTCACTCACAAAAAAATTAAAAAAATAATCATCTAACATTTTTGACACTTATATCTACAAATCATTTTATATAAGTTACGTATACAAATACTTACGAGTAAATACATCAAATTGATGAAATTTATCTGAACTTCCATCGTCATAACAATCAATGTCATCGACACTAATGTGAAATTCTAACGATAAGAATAAATATTTTAACTGTGATGTTTCATTTTAGAAGTTGCGAATATAAGCTTTAGAACGTTTTAACGTAGATGTTAGTATAACACCAAAGAGTCTTGGTAAAAACGAACTATAAAGCTAAAAAAAAGGTTATATAATCTTCATGATTTTTCGAACAACATAAAAGCACTGGTGTTGCTCGCATAAAACCGTTCATTCAATAGTTATTTTAAATGACATTGGATATAAAAAAAAGGTAAACGTAATAGCCAAAGAAAGTATAAAAACAGACTGATCCGACTACTAAAATCATGAATGCAAACTATAGAGGTCTCCCATAAAAGAATACTGAGTAAGCACATTTTGTTTGTGACCACACCTTCCGGCAATTAATATTAGGCATTTTCAATTGAAATGTTACAGATTCAAAAATTCAATAATGCTTTATAATTATCACGCTTTATTGTATTATTTCTTTATTTTAAAAATCGCGAATTTAAGATTACTACAGCCAAGCTGAATTAAGTAAATTTAAATTAAAGTAGACTTTCTATAAACAAACTCTCGAATACAACAAGAATATAAGTAAAGTTTTTAAATAAATATTTACTTGAAACTGTTGAAATATTGATCAAATTTTTATAAAAATATAAAAACAACATAAATGTTCAAAATAATTATTAGGAGAAACTAATTCAATAAATATTTTGTTGAAAAAATTCTCAGTTCTGTCAAAATTATCTTAACGTTTTTTTTAATACTACAGGATATGTATACTCGTTTAATACTCCAGCTGAGAAGAATAAAACACATTAGAACGAGCCATGAACGTAAATTATCAAAAGGAAATAAAGGAAAATGGACTAATAGAAAGAAAGGGTAGAGAAAAAGCCATAGAGAGTTTCCATTTCCGTGCTCGAGAAATGAGCTGCATACTTCAACACATATGCGGTCTGCACATGTATAATTCATGAAACGCGAAAACCATCAATCAAACAAAGCCTAACGTTGGTCAGTGTCTCTTAACTCTTATTCCTAAGACGTAAACAGTTTTGTAGAAACGAGGGTATGGTAAGAACTCTGTAAATGGTTCACATAAAGGAAGATTTTATCTGTTCACGATGGATATACTAGAAGTGGTAATAATAAAAACAATAGTGTAGTAGTATACTTCATGTATTTAAACATAGTCTTCGATTTATCAAAAACGCCATAAAATATGGAAGAGACCTTATAATAGGCAATTTCATCGAAATCCATTTTACCGTGTAAATAAAAACACTACTACAATACATACAACTCCGATCAATCATCTATATAATACGAAGGTTGTTACGAAATGTTTCACCATAACCATTGCAATTACATTAAATGTGTTCTCTTTGATGACTTCAATTGTAGTCTATGTTATTGAAACCATTGGACAGTATAAGTTTTTGAAGTAGTTTATTTGCTAATACTTGCTAAAGCTATTTTTAATATCTTTTATACTCGTATTTTGTAAACATATCCTAAATCGTGATCGGTGAAAGACATCTACATAAAGTTCTATTGTGGACAACCCGTACATTAGAGTTCTTCAAAATGTATCAGTTATTTTAAATATAACTTTGCTAACAAAGCCCCATAGTTAAACATGACTAAGGCTTTACTTTAAAGCATTATCGCCATGAATGATTAATGGGTAATAGAATTTATTTAAAATTGTTTTCTCGTACTATTATCATACTGAGTAAGAGTCAATGTGGGTCGATTATTATGTTTTTATCATGTCCATAACGGGTATCTCATTCGGCGTAGGAAATTATTGGCTTATTTGTTGGATGACAACATAAGTATGTTATAAATGTTACACTTATATGCCTACGCTTAGTCTCGTGATATCCTACACAGATCATATTATTATTGTACATATGTCAAAAATTCTATAATTTAAATATTATAATGTCATTATTTTAAAAATAATAATAATCTAAAACATTAAATAATCACAATTAATTAAAAATAATATTTAACAAAATCTTATAAAAAAATATATTAAAACATTTTTCAGCTTCTACGAGAATTATTCACTTCAAACCATTTTAAATTATAAGTAGACCATCAATAAATTAAATATGATTTAATTTTATCATATTTGTGAATTATTAAACGTGACTTAACATTAAAATCTTCTTATGAACAATAATGTGAAATTTATTTCCCCGTGGAAAAACATCAAGCTCATTAAAAGAAGAAATCGCTCGAGTAGATATCATTTAAAAACATTTTGACATCCATTTGTTTATAGGTCCCACAGGCACTGTTACCTACTACAAGGAACTGCGAACAGTGAATTTCATTTGCATAATAAATAAATGCAATACAATAAAACAGACACCGCTAGGTCGAGGTAAAACAATACAATATTAATGTTTATAATGTATGATATAATAAGTAATAATATCATTATAATAATTTTGTCTTATTTACTTCGTTGTATCGGTAAGATACCGAACACAAAGTATTTAAATTTATTTGACTTTATGTCTATTTTTACACTGTATTGTCCTTTTCACAGTATTCTAACTTGATACTGTTGTGCGTTTCTAAATCCAAATCATGTTACCAAAGCATATGATCTCATAAGGTTTGATTGAATTGAATATAATCAGTTTTAAACATTATAATAATTTGCAATCGCCTGTCTAGAATTGAACTTCTTGACAGCTCATTATGACAACACACGCTAATTGGACATCGCATACCATCAGACGCGATGGTGGGCTTAATTGACAAACTTTTTACAAGCATGAATCAAAGTTACAGCAAATAACTATGGTTAATGATGCCACACACGTCAGTTTTTTAATGAGTTATGCGATATTACAGAAACGCTTTCGTTGCAATATTGAAAACTCCTATATCAATTAAAATAAAAGTTATAAAAGTTAAAACTTTTACTCAATCATTTATTTTTTAGTTTTTGGTATTGCAAAGCCAATTTAAAAGGGAGTAAAGACTGTCAATAATTTGATTCAAACGCAATCAATTTTAAAACACAATTCCCTTTAATTTAAAATAAAATAGGACCTGAAAATGAATAATTAGCGTATTTCCGACAAAAACAAGCAAACACGTTTATTTTTAATGAAACACCTTGATAAACTATCAAGAAATCATTTAGTATTTATATTTGCTATCACTTTTAAAATTTGAATTTTTAATAATGCGATAAATTAATGGCTATAATTTATTGTTTATTGCTAAATGTTCTATAAATACTTCATATGAAATGAATACACAATTCATTAAATTACTGGTTGATATCAAAGTCTATATAATGCTTTAAGCAAAATATAATTTGTTCTTCAAAAACTATTTATCAAAATATATGAAACTAGTAAAGCCAATGTATATTATGAGACATGTATACATATGATGAAATAAAGTTTGAACGCAATAAGCTCCAAGGCAAATGATCAAATATACGAAACAAAAACAGTTAAGAACGGAAATTAATGCTTTGCTAGCTAACAATCATAAAAAATATAGATATATACAATTTATTATTTCGAATAAATGTTGACAAAAAGTTTAGAAAATCAAATAAATCCCTTGTTTTTAGCTCAAAATTAATGTTACTTTTAACATTTTAATTTTTAAAAGTATATAAATGTAATATAGTGTTAGAAGTACATAAATTTGTTGAATAAATATTTAGTACACAAAAAATAAACTTCTAACGTCATTATTACTCATGTTTAAACAAGATAAAAATTAATAATTTTATTCAGTAAAAATGTGTAATTTTATTCATTTGTAACTCATCTAAAAACATATATAAATAAATAAAAAAATAATTACTATATATTTTCCTTTGACGCTAATATATGTTATAATATACGATAATAGTAAGTTATTTGGTTGCTTCAAAAATTTCAAAAAAATTATTCAAATTTAAAATATATACATACCAAATACATACAATACTATCTGAAGCTAAGACTATTATTGTGGCACAACCAAGGATGGTTAAGGGTTTGTAACCCCCAAAATTATTTTCTGGTTACGCTAAATTAAGTATAATAGTCACTATTATAATTAATTTACCGAAATAAAATTCAACATTACAACATTCCTTAAAAAGAGTGGCCTGGCAATCATAGTTTACTAAATCTTAAAGTTCTCAAATTGTTTAAAATAAATACATTAAATACATAAATTAACAGTCATCAACTGAAAACGTATCCAACGAGTAAAAATTCACGTATAATAAAAATATTTATTTATTATTAGTGACCTATTACTACTTTGGAAAAGTTTTAT